GAGCCCGTCTGTGCGGACCTTTTGAGTTCTATACTGAGAAACCGCCTGCATGATCTGTGTTTGCCAGCAATATGTTCAGGAAGTTAATTCCAATGTCGACGTGTGCTAGACACGAGAGGGCATCCGCATCGAGAGTTTGTGTCGTTTTTGCTACTCTGTTGAAGCAGCGCAGACGACACGGTCCATAGTTTGTGTTGCATGGCCACAATCGTATTGTGGCTTGTCTTTAATGTTCTTGTCTTTAATGTTCCATTCGTGCTCATCGGCCTGTTGATGTTCTGATGCGGTTGATGGTTACACCAAATGTCTTTCATGATGGCTGCATGTAATAGAGACAGAGGCACAGTTTCAGCCACGTGCCTGTGGGAGGAAGTACAGAAATACGGTTTTGTGTCTGTAGTATTTGAGTGTTCTCTGCTCGTTGCCTGGATTGTGTCCATGTGCTCAGGATTCCTTCCACAGCACTTGATAAGGAACTTACCAAGCATCCAAACAAGCGCCTGGCTAAAACCCCTAACACCTTTGTGAAGAAATGAAATCATTCTAACTATATACGGCACTGTTTTTATGAATAATCTTAAAATAGGATTGGTGGTGTGCAGAAGATGCGGGTGCTGTGAATGGCTCTCTGTTGTGCGTCATCGAGTGTGCTCCCACAGGCCTCCGCTGCTCCCTCTCTTGGCGTGGCTCTTGCCGAGGTGTTGGCTGGCAGTGTTTATTTGCACTGCGCTCACGGCACACATCCCCCCGTGCTTTGGGAAATAGGCAGTGCGAAACGTACATTTGGTTCGTTATTGAGACGGGCAGCTCCTTATAAATGACAAGAAAACCCGTGCATGTTCATGGTTTCTGCAATGCTTTCCCACGTGTGTTTGTCATCGGAAGTATTCTTTGAAAAAAAATCTTGAGTGCATGCGGTCTTTCGTGATGTACGGATCAGAAACACGGACATTGGCAAACGAATTGGAACAAGAGCTGAATGGTGCGCTGAGAAGCATTACATTGACTTTGCTCGGAGAGCACATGCAGGTTCCAATCATATTGACTTTACAGAAGTCATTGGGCTTGGGCAGGACTCGTCACGATATGGGATGAAGGTTGTGGGTGGTCAAGAATAACAGTGCAGTGGTGGCCCAAGGAGGGAACGTGCTTGGGGACATGTCTCGGGCTCATGGGGCAGGAAGGATGATGTCAGCTGGCGTGTAGGCGCGAGATGGATCGCTACATCGCAGCGCCATGAGCGGTGGTGGCAGCTTGCCTAGGCCTTCATTCAGCAGCGGATTGATCGATCGTGGCTAATGGTGATCACGCTGAATTCCTTCCCAGCAGCGCAGGGTGACGTCACACGGGCGCATGATGTGACATGGTGAGATGACCTTACTCGCAATGAGGTCGTTGCGCTCCGGCGGAGAAGGCTTCATATTTAGCGCTGGTTTTTGTTGCCTTTTATTTGGACAACCAGTTGATCTATTTAACTGGTATTCTATGGGGAGAGTCCCAAACAGAAACAAATATTTTATTTACATTTTTATTTATCTTGGGTATTTTTTTACGAGGGTCATCATCATGGCCCCATTACGGACAGGACAGGCGGACAGTAACGCTTCAACGTTTCTCGGAAATGGTGAACAGAAGCACCACGTTTATCATGTGAAGACAAATAGCGAGTAATTATTACAATTAACAGATAATATTATATTTGCTGTAAAATGTATTTAAAAATTACATTGTGCTTACTCAACTATAGAGATGTTTCTACTATAATGATATTATAAGCACGTACGCACACTACCCATTGCATAAATTACTCGCGCATAGGTAATTAGGGACACATTTGAAATGATGTTTTCCGCCACAATTTAAAATCCAACTTTGGCGTTCTCCTTCTGGCAGGCCGATGTATTTGTAGCTGCGTGCAGTTTTCACTGCAGGCGAATCTTTATTTCATTGAATGCACATTCCTCGGCAATGAATTTTAACCATGGTTAGCGATTTAACCTTTATACATTTTTAATTCATTGATCTTGTGTTTAATTGCTGTATGTGGCCAAGCAAAAAAAAATGTCAAGTCGGTGTGCGTGGGTGGACTGGGAGCATGATGTCACCGCTGCAGCATCCTCGCCAGCGCTGCACCGCTTGCACCTAGCGGCTACGGTCCTCACGCGACTGCTGCTGCCGCCGACGCTGCTTGCTGCCTCTGCGTTTGTTTATGTCTGGTGGTGGTGGGGGGGTCGCGTTGGTTCCACGTTCTCCCAACCCCACGCTCTCCCAACCCCACGCTCTCCCAACCCCACGCTCTCCCAACCCCACGCTCTCCCAACCCCACGCTCTCCCAACCCCACGCTCTCCCAACCCCACCGTTCTCCCAACCCCACGCTCTCCCAACCCCACGCTCTCCCAACCCCACGTTCTCCCAACCCCACGCTCTCCCAACCCCACGCTCTCCCAACCCCACGCTCTCCCAACCCCACGCTCTCCCAACCCCACGTTCTCCCAACCCCACGCTCTCCCAACCCCACGCTCTCCCAACCCCACGCTCTCCCAACCCCACGTTCTCCCAACCCCACGCTCTCCCAACCCCACGCTCTCCCAACCCCACGCTCTCCCAACCCCACGCTCTCCCAACCCCACGTTCTCCCAACCCCACGCTCTCCCAACCCCACGCTCTCCCAACCCCACGCTCTCCCAACCCCACGTTCTCCCAACCCCACGCTCTCCCAACCCCACGCTCTCCCAACCCCACCGTTCTCCCAACCCCACGCTCTCCCAACCCCACGCTCTCCCAACCCCACGCTCTCCCAACCCCACGCTCTCCCAACCCCACGTTCTCCCAACCCCACGCTCTCCCAACCCCACGCTCTCCCACCCCCACGTTCTCCCAACCCCACGCTCTCCCAACCCCACGCTCTCCCAACCCCACGCTCTCCCAACCCCACGCTCTCCCAACCCCACGCTCTCCCAACCCCACGCTCTCCCAACCCCACGCTCTCCCAACCCCACCGTTCTCCCAACCCCACGCTCTCCCAACCCCACGCTCTCCCAACCCCACGCTCTCCCAACCCCACGCTCTCCCAACCCCACGCTCTCCCAACCCCACGTTCTCCCAACCCCACGCTCTCCCAACCCCACGCTCTCCCAACCCCACGCTCTCCCAACCCCACGCTCTCCCAACCCCACGCTCTCCCAACCCCACGTTCTCCGTGTCTGCCTCTTGTTTTTTCAGTGGTGTGTGTCTGTCTCTGTGTCTGCCTCTGCATCCATATTTGTCAGTCTGTTAGTAGTATGGGTGCCTTTTTTTATAAATTATGGCTCAACTTTCTTGTTGTTTGTCATGCAAACTGCAAGGGTGTTTACACTTTTGTTTTGCCAAAGGTAACCAACCCATCAACCAAGACCTTAACAATGTACCTTGCCACCGACTCATGACGAGTGTGAAGCCAGGGTTGTTGAGAAGTTGAAGGAAGAAAAGACGTGGAGTGATACTCGCTCTAACGTCCACAGGTGCACCCTTAAGTGAACATTCTTCTAACCTTCACCTCTTTGGTATGGGCGTTGTATCCATCCATTTGTTGGTCGGCCTTTAGTTATTTTTCGTGTTATAACAAGTGTGAAGTACAGATTGCTATTCTACTGTTTTCCTAATTATAAAACGTATTGGTAAAGCACATTTACCTGGTTGCCTGAGAATGGTTTTAGTGTCCATGCTTTATGTTGCTCAGTCCCAAGTCTGTTCCCTGCTGGAAAATCTGAATTTGGAAGAGAGGAGGTTTGCAATAAGTCCCTGGACAACAGCAATAATGAAGCAGACCAAGCTACACCACAAGGCCCAGCAGATTTAGGAGACCCAATGGATGACTACGCTAGCATGAAACCACGAAAGTGAAATTCTCCCAATGGTTTGTCACTCCGTACATGATGCACGAGCAGGGTTTTGTACAACCAGCTGCTAAAGCACGAGTAGTAGTTCTGTGTTAAATGTTAAGGTCTGCTAGCCTATGAGAAGGCTCCAGGAGAGAGTTTGTATAGTTTTGTTATTCCTCCGTTAAAGGAATGCAGACTACAGTGCATGGCCACAACGGCACTACTACTGTTATTCTTTAATGTGTATGTGGGTCTCTGTGTGTCTCTGAGTCTCAGTTTCATTGCCTCTAGCTCTGGGTGTCTGAGCTAACCGTACGGTCCATAGTTTGACTTGCATGGCGACAATGGCACTACTATTGTTATTCTTTAATGTATCTGTGGGTCTCTGTATCTCTGAGTCTCAGTTTTCATTGCCTCTCGCTCTGTGTGTCTGTGACCTAACCGTACGGTCCATAGTTTGACTTGCATGGCCACAGTCGCACAACTCCGGCTTGTCGTTAATTTTCCATTCGTCTTGGAGATGTGCGCATTCGCCTGGTGATGTTGGGATGCGGTTGATGGTTACACCACTGGTGTATTCCAGGACTGTCAAAGCCAAGAGGTGCGATGTTTGGGTCACGAACGAGGGGTTTATTCTGGAACTGTGGTCGTGATATTTGCCTTGAGCTACTGCAGAAAGTTTTGGCTTGGTCGTGGTGGTGGAGGGGGGGGGGCACAGGTGAGAGAACGAGACGATAACACGATGGTTTGTTTTGCCTCGGGCAACGTGCGGCTGTTTTGTGGGTTGTCTTTTCGCGTGTGCTGTTTGTATGCATTATTCATTCAAATTCATTATTTAGTTTCAAGATGCGTCCAGCACTTTCGAATTTAAAACGTACACGTGTAAAACCGGTGCATCCCTTCAGCTACACGAGGGTGTTACTGAGCCTCGTGAATCGTGCCCGTGTTGTTTAAATAAGCTTGCCAAAGCATTTTGTTTGAACCGTAACACACCTGCCCTCCTTTAAATCCCCACACCCGACACCGCCGCTTGCTTGATAGCGTTGCGTGCGTGGCGTGTGTCCATTTCCATTTAGAATGAAATGTTGTATTCAGAAATGAGCCCACTTTATAATCCAATGTTGTTTTTGTGTCTTTAGCCAGATGTTGAAAAATCAGCTGAAGACTTAATGGCTTCCATTCAGTGAGGTGAGTTTCCATCTTACGGTGAACACATTTCTACATCGGTGTGCGCTGCGACTGGGGAAACCATCTGGAACTTTCTGCGGATCGTGGCACCTATTTGTAATCTGGCCACATGCGAATTGTATTCTGGGTAGTAAGGCTAGCCGAGAGCTGATACCTCGCACAGCTGAGGCTACAGGGGTAAACCGATGGGAAGTCTTGGCTGTGTTGCAGTGGCTGCAATTATTTCTGCTTCAGCAGGGAGTCCACGCGTGACGCACGATGCAGCTAGAGGCACCGCTGTCCTGGCAAACATATTAAAAACAAGCGCAGATAAATGGCACGTGCGTCTGCGCAACAGAAAGGCGCAGTGCTTCGTGACAAGGGCTGCTTGCTATTATTGCCATAAATTGCCGTCTCGGCAAATTAGGTGGCGTCCTGGAAAAACTTGGTAGCCCGCGTGTCTTGTGTGTATGTGTATATAAGATAACCCATGCTCCCTTCATTGTAAGACTTTACAATGGACTTTTGGTACGTTTTTATTGTCTCATTTCCCTACGGATGGCCACACAATGAAGTTAATTATTCACTCCCCCCCCCCCCCCCGCGTCCACTTAGTCCGTCGTTCAAAGACAACCTCTCTACGTGACCCAAAGAATATGAATTCCTGCAGTCACGAAAGCTTTAAGTCAAAATTTTCCGTAAATTTTTCGCTATGTATTGTGCATTGTCTGAACAACACGTGCTTTGTTTTTCTAATGTCTTTGCCTCTTGGTTTTTGTTTCTAATCGCAGATCTGCACTGCCAATGACGCTCCCAAAATGAGTCTAAGGAAACGTCTGCTGAGCTGCATCGAGTCTCACGATTCAAGCAAGGTGCCAAGAATGGAGGGGCATCCCAATGTAGCAGCGTACTACACAGCAGCAGGCTGCTACCCGGCCATTTCTCAGCTTTTGAACCACAACATTTCTGCCACGATATCACCGGTGCTCACGACCTCCACCATCAGTCACGCACCAAACAACTTCATCGAGAGAAGATCCACTCAGCTGGTCGGCACACAGCACAACCCCCCCTACCCAGTGTATGTGCACTGCCAGAAGGAAGCGCTTTCCTTACAGCACAAGCAAGACGCTTCGCAATTCCCGCTCGCGTTTGGCTTTGCGGACCAGTGCAATCAGAGCTCCGTTGGCTTGGACACTGGTCAGGTTTGTGGCGTCTTTCCCAGTTGCTCGATCGCGAGTAAGGAGGTCGCCACCGTGCCCCTGGTCACGACCTGCAGCGGCGGCGTGCTGCTGGCGACCCAGGCCCCCCTCCAGAGCGGTTTTGGCAAGACCACAGCGACCTTCACTGACCCTGCGAGAATGTTTCAGAATTTTCAAAGTGTAGACTTCCCCAAGATGTTTTCCATGCATCCCTCCTCTGTGGCCAACTTGGCACCCCACATGGTGCTGGGTTCTGTTAAGAACACAGTCGTCAATTTGCCACCGATACAGTCGACATCGTTTTCAAGAAAATATCCCATGCATTACCCATATCAGAATTCTCCCGCTTTCAGTAACCCCTTGCCTAATACGCAAGAAGATACAAGGGCCTTATACTTAGACAAAAGCAGACCGTACGACCATCACACGAACATGGCTAGTTCTCTGGCATGCAGCCCTGCTCTGTCCTCATCGCAGCAGGACTTCCGAGAGAAACACATTTCCGCCAGACCATTGGAAAAGCCACCAAAGCTTGTACATGTTCAATATTCTGACAGGTCCCCTGAAGTGTCAAACTCTGTAATAAAGCAGAGAAGTGTGCGTCATCAAAGCAGGGTTCACTCCGTGAATTCTTTGTTGGCTTGTTCAAGAGAGAAACAGCTCAAGGGTGAAGTGCTTCCGAAAGTGGAGGCTGGCCATGCGCATTGGCCTCCAAGGTCATCGACAGTTCAGTCCCAAGCAATCGTCAGGAACAGAGATCCAAACGTGCCGAAGAAAACGTCTTCGGGCTCTTTTTCCGAACAGCAACAACCGCACGCGCAGTCCTTCTGCCAGTCGACACGCGACGCGCCGGAGCAACTTCTGATCCATCCCCTGAACACCTCTCCCACGACGGCTGTTCCCAGGACCGTCTGTCAAGACGCCTCGTTGCCACGCATAAAGTGGGCTTGGAGCGACAACGCCGTGTCAAACTGCGGCCCTTACGCAAACTTGCCGGTCATCAGCCGAGTCTACAGTTGGGGAGCCGTTCAGAACACCGCGAGCCATGTCGATGAAAAGCAGGTCGATGGAAACAAACTTTCTCATGCACACCCAACGAAGGAGCATCCAAACATAATGTTCGGTCACGTCTTGCAGCAACCGCAAAGCGGCACGCGGCCGGGCGTTAAGGATATCGTTCAAGGTTCCGTGAGGTCAACCAAGCATGCTTCTACCTCTTCGACAGGGCCAGTCATTCGTGACGTCTTCAGTCTCTCGCCGGAGTTGGTGAGTCCCGTGACGACGGATGCGCGATCGACCGGCAATCGTTTGTTCACTTCGTGCGGTGAAAATGAAGCCAAAACGAGAGACAGGCACAGGGAGGATCAAGAGCAGAGGGCGCATTCAAAGCATAAAGAAGAGCACAGGAAAGCCAAAAGTCAACAGACGGACAAGTGTGTTGCACAGCAGAAGGTCTCTTCGATCTTGGAGTTTGAAAAAACTGTGAAGAAGATGACCGAGCAAATCACTTCACCTGAAATACAAACCACAGCTCTGAACTCAAAAAAGAGCCAAGCCAGCGATGTGGCTGTGAAGAAGCCCGAGAGAGAACAGAGCGAGCCGATGCGATCGGACGGCTCGCCGCTGAGTAAAACTCTGAACAGGATTATGTCCTCGTTTGTCACGGAATCTACCGCAGAGCGCATTTCCTGTCAAGCGCCTTGTGCACTGAACTCTTTGCCTCCGAAGAGGCGAAAAGAGTGGATTATAAATACTCATGCTGCCTGCATCGAAAAGGATTACAGCAACGTGCAACATCTTGTTCAGCAAGAGGCATATCAAAAGAATGAAAAACATTCGTTCGGACATGGGCAAAGTCCCGTAAACAATCCACCCACCACGTTATCTTTACATTCATTAAAACAAGAAGTGTCCACGCCAGGGCACCTACCATCGCCAACGTCGATGTCTGCTGGACCTGTTACCAAGAAAGAAATGACAGTGTCGAGAACGGTTGGTTTAAAAGAATACGCAAATGTTGAGCTGGTAATCCCACCCATTAGCGAGTCCATGAAATATTCTGCGAAACACGAATCTTGCAAAAAACATTTTGGTGATAAACAACTGTTCCAGCCTCCGTACAAACATCTGGGTCCGAGTACAAAACTAGCAGGAGCAGAAGTTGCAACTGCCTCGGCATCTATGCTTCTGCAAAGCAAAAAAGAGGAACCAGGCATGGCCAATATAAGTGTCCGGAAAAACTCTGTCATAGACCAATGCGTAGTGGAGAAGATGGATCATAGCAACAGCAGTTTGCACACGCATGTTCCCCACTTTCAGACCGTACTTGTCAGCAACTTAGACCATCAGCTCTGTGGACAGAATACTGAGCAAAATGAGTTGCCCGTTGACCTTACAGTGGAGAAGATCGGAAAGCGTGAGATCTTGGACCTAAGCAAGTTAAAAAGCTGTAAAGAGTACGTGCTGCACACTTCAGAAAAGGAACTGGATTATGAATGTGCTGAGAAGACTGAAATAGAATGTATGAGCGTTAATGTGCCTGAGCAAAGTAGTGGCGATGTACATTTGGAAGATGTTGTGCCAAGAACATGTCCACAGAAAGAAGGACCTCGTACAGCCTTAGAAAAGCGAAGTGATAAAGTGTTGCCAAATGAACTTGAATGTTCGGAAAGTGCCCTATCAATAAAAAGCAAAGCTTCGGTAAACATCGAACGTTGCAGCCCGGATAGCAGCACCAATGTAGACATGGTATCTGCGTACAACCAAGCAGGCGGTGGTAACAGTCAGTTGAGCGTGGACTCTAAACCAGAAGGTCACCTGCACAAACATCTGCTAAACCTACATCAGCTTCTGAGCGAAATGGTCGAAAAGTCCGCGGCCAGCAGTAGCCACAATCTTCAGCAGGCCTTTCAACATCTAAGGCACGGCCCCAAGCGGGGGCAAACAGTTTCTCACGTCTCGGAGAGCAAACCCACCGGGGAGGCGTCGTACGTTACAAAGCACGGAGGAGGTGGCGGTGGCGGCACAAAGCGGGGATCAAACTCGCATTCCGTGGCGCAGACGAGCAGCCGATCTGCAGAAATCCACGAGCACGCGTCCAGCACCACAAAAGAAATGTTCCTCAAAAACATCTCGATTCAAACCCGCCTCGAAGAATTTGCACGCGAACTGCAGACTCTGGTCTCTAAGAGCCTTTGCCCCTTCCCGTCCGTGGCTCGATTGGAGAGGATTTTCATTCCGGTCTCGGCCCTGCAAGAGAAACTCTTTCCCGGCCTTTCTGAGCTCGTCATCCTCAACGTCTTTAAGTGCTGCAAGGTGGTCCTCAGACCGGCAACTCTCAGGGAAGAAAAAATGCTTGGGGCAGTGTGTTGTTCAGAGAATACGCAGGAAACGGGCTCGTTCACTCTCTTCCCGTTTGACAAGCTGAAGGAAGTCTACCCAGAGCTCCTGTACTGTTGCTGGCTGGAGAAAATGAAGAAATGTATTGGTGAGCTCTCTTAATGATTTTGTTTACGCAGATCTGACGGTGTGTGCCTGTGCATGGCGACAATCGAGAATGAGACGTTTGGGATTTTTTTCTGCATTGTGCATTATTAATGATTCACTTTAGTACGCTATCAATAACGGTGGCCAGAAGCCAAAGTCCTCGACTTTAAAACATTGTATCTTTATAATGCTTCATCTGAGAGTTTTACAAATTTGAGATTATTTTTCAATGCAATGTAATTCCTATAATATTTGTTTCTATTTAAATCACAGTGAAATGCACACTCGATTTGAAAGTAAATCTTTAGTAATATTTAACACTAGATATCAAAGTTAGATTTATTAAATTGATATCATACTTGCCGATCCGAGAAAACTCAACACGTTCATCCATCGCGCTGCCTTAAAAACAAGACGGATTTTGAATAGGCGTCGTCGTGGGCAGTGGCCATTATTAACGACACGAATGTTGAGAGATTTTAGTTATTTGTCCTTGGGCACCACGGTCAGCAAAGCATCGCCACACAATTAGTCAATCCAGTGCATACACGTCTGTTAATGCTGCACATTGAACAACGACAATAAGCAGCGCTCTCTCGGAAGGCTGCTCTGTAAATCCTCACGAGATATTTGCGTCAGCTGGCAGCGTGCAGGTAACTTTGGTCACGTGTGTATTTTTGGCCGTGCAGTAGTTTGGTGCCGTGTCCATTGTAAGATGCTCTTGATGTGACTTGATGGAAACGCAGCTGTATCTTTGGGGGCATTCGCGATTGGATTTTCCATCATCCCAGCTGCTAACTCACTGCTGTGACCGTCGCCAGGCAGATAAATTGCCCTTCGTGTTTATTCACAACTTCTCAAACGTTTAAATGGAAATTTTCTTGACATCATTTCAAAAGTGGTTATTATTCGATTTAAACCCACGTTTTATTCCCTCCCGATATTACTGCTCTAGTTCGTGCATGTTAAGTTAATCTTAATGCATTGTGCAGTCAATAATCAAATTTATGATTATTAGATTTAATTTAAATACTTTTTGAATGGGAAATGTATAGAGATAGATTACAAACTCAATTTCTGTACTGCCATCTCGGCAGAGTTTGCCAAAATACATTCAAATGATAAAGTACTGGAGAAATGTGATGTTTATACAAACAATTAACTGAATGTCTTGTAATTTGGATACACAATACTAGTTACTTTAAGGTTTGTAGTTTACATACCAATTACAAACTCCACTCGTCATGGATTAACTTATTTGTGTTACACGCACTGTAGATACTGTGCCCACCTCCGCATCCTGCCACCGATTGGCAGTGTCTCAGTACTATCTGAACGTGACATGATTCAAAGTGCTCCGTTATAAGTGTCTCTCACCATTATTACAACATAAATAAAACGATCTATCTCTTGAGGGTTCACATATCTGTATGTGTATTGATTTAAAACCCCCTTAACTTTGACTCAACAATGTGGACACGGTGACGTTTGCACACTGCGGGTCTGGGCCCCCCCTCCCATGCCTGCCGATGCAGTTTGGCGGCATCTGCAATCTCTCCATTTGTCAAGCTAAGGTTAACATAATACATTAGTGGAGTGTCGGCCATGAATGGACAGTATAGCCCGGGCATTGATTTCCCTTGATTTTTGTTTATCTATTCCTACAGCCTCGCATTCATTGAATTATAAAGATGCTTTCTGTCTCGGTAGTCGGTTGGTTAAATACCAAAAGATGCCTTTCAGTTGTCTGCTGTTTGTGCCACCTGAACCGTGTGCACTATTGCCGAGCTGCACGTGACTGTAATGCTGTATTGTGTTGCAGATCAAAACAATGAAGCGACCGAGTTGGAAAAGAACCCTGTTGATTCTACAGAAAACGGAGGGGGAGACCGTGCAGCAGAGGCGACAAACGAGTTATGTGAGAGAGTCTGCTCCTCGCAGGACTCTCACCAGGAAGACCGTGGTGCCACCACCAAGGCACAGTGCCTCTTTGTGGAAAATCCCCAAACGTCACCGGCGGGCGCGGAAGAGGAGCCCTCCGTGGGCGAAGCCGCGGGTAGCGACATCGCCGAGTCGGCCGTTGTGACGAACGATTCTAATCCGTGCGAGCAGACGGGCCCTGCTGACGAAAACGCGGAACGCTCCAGAGGAGCGGCAGTGGACAGCGCTCGGAGTGGAAGTGACGCCAATCTGGAATGCACGCCGTTGATCGCTCCTTCTCCCCGAGAGGATCCGCATTCCACCACGACCGACGTGTCGTCCGACTCTGCAGCCACCTATCCGGTTATTTCATCGTCCGATGTAAAGGATGCAAACGTATTATTGTCGTCGCCTCCGAGATACGAGCCTGAGAATTCCGGCACGATCCAGCACTCTGCTGATGACGTGCATTGCTCCATAGCTGTAGAATCCGAGAATACAATTGAAGAGAATAACAAACCGCTTGAAGTTAAAAGGTCTAAATACGTTCACGGTGTCAAACAACGACTTCACAAAAGGTCGAGTCCAAGGTTGCTAAAAGAGTCTGTTGGAACTGATAAACACCAACAGGCATCGGACACATTTCTGAGCAAAAACGAGGTATGCAAGTCGGAGGACAAAGCGAGTAAGAGACGTGTTCCGCTGCTGAAACTGAAGGGGGACATGACAACTTCCATTGTGATGGCAACACCTGAGGACGAGAGTGAGGCTTCAAAAGTAAAGTTGGCGACCACTGAACAAACCTCGGGTCACCCAGTGGTGAAGAGGAAAACGGTGCCACCTTTAATAATACGAAGCCATCATCAGGCACACGAAGTTAGGACTCGGCTCAAGAGCCCATTGAGGGTTGCGCGGAAAGAAAAAACGTTTTCCACGAGTGCCGGTCAACTTGAGAACAAGGCTGTAGATACGCAAGAGCGAGAGTTTGAAGCGTTGGAGGTTGTCCGTGACACTGAGGTGCCATTTGAAGAAACCGCTTTTGACGATGTAAATCCTGCCATGGGTTCAGAAACCAAGGACCAAAAGCACGTACGTGATCCTTTGACGGAAGAGGCATCCCCTGGATGTGGCCGGGTGAAACGGCCAAGACTTAAACACCTGCGGGCGAGTTCCCAGGTGGCTGAGAAAAAGCTGAAAAAGCAGACGCCAGCATTACGCAGGTCTCTGAGGCAGAAGACGTCCGGCATTCAACTCAGGTCGCAGAGAGGCGCGAGTTCGGAACGACGTCTCGTCCAGGTGGTGCCTGGGAAGAAAAGCAGATGCAAGCGCAAAGGCGACCGAAGCGAGATTTCCCCGAAACTTTCGCGCGGCAGACAACGGGCGTGCGGAAACGCGGACGGGGGCAAACGAGAGGAGGAGCCCCCGAGCGACAAGAAGACGGGCGGAGACTTGTACCCAGACCTGGTGGGCAGGCGCGTGCTGCACCTCTACGACGACGAGGACACGGAGAGGTGGTACCAGGGGGTGGTGACGCAGCTGTACGAGGAGCACGACGACCCCCTGGAGGCCATCTACGTCGTCACGTACGACAGCGAACCCGGGTGGCAGTATTATCTGGAGCTTCTGCAAGACTACCGGAAAGGCTGGTTGAAGCTCGTCGACTAGACGGCGTGCTGCCCACGACATTTGCGCCCGGTTATATGTAACATATGCATTCAGTCAACAATGACAATGTTGGTTTGCTAACATTAGAGACTTTTAAATTAAAGATATGCTGTTTACCATTTTGTTTAGGTTACATTTAAATACGTAGTTTATTTTTTTGTATTAGGTGCTTAAATAAAAAGGCACGTGTCTGTTCCATACGCGGCGGTGTAAAACAACGGTGGCGTTTTATTGTTGACGTGACGTTGCGGATGAGAATGTTTTTGTTTCGTTTTTGGGGTTTTTTTTAAACAAAATTTGTAACTTCATTAAAATATTAATATTGTTATAATGTTCATGAACAATATTTTCAGGCAGTTTTATTATACGTATTTGGTGGTCACAACTGCTATTAAGACAATCTGTTCTGTATGAATAAAAACATATATGGACATAGTGGATGTGGATGTCAATAAATATATATCCTGTAAACACTTTCAGTACATTTCCACTAATTTTGTTTGAATAGCCGGGCCCGCTGCTTTTGACGTTCAGAGCATTTCCCTTTTCCAGCGATGGGCAGTGATTACCCCTTTAGGGGTGGTATCTTCCACGTTGCTTGACCGTCAATATGATGTCTATAACTTGCACACATGTTACTCTTCCTGTGTGTCGGCGTAATTCCAAGCAACACTTGAGCATTCGTTGTATTTTCTCTGTGAATCTGATCAATGTGTCATTAAAAACCTGATTCTTTAGGCAGATTTTCCTAATCAATTTCAGTTTTCCAAACGCACTCCAACCCGCTTTCGCTGGCTTATATTTGAAAATATTGATCCAGGTTGGAACTCTGATGTGTGTTAGTACAGTACTGTATATGTCTTCAGTTGTTTAGTTGTAATAGAGGTTGTTTTTGGGTTAGATCGCGTAAATATGTAAATGTCTCGTTAAACCCGCCACCACCCGACACAGCCAACTAGTAAGGGTTGTCACGTAAACAGAACGTGGCCAATTGTTATGCAGTCTATTCATAGTCTCAAGCCGCACCTTTAATCATCGGAAAGATGTGATTAACCATGCAAAAAAGATTTAACTCCACTTATTTGGACCATCTTATTTGACAGAAAACTATTGCAGGTTACTGATGGACAGCCAGTTGTTTCACCAGGTTTAGCTTTCTACCAGGTTTAGCTTTCTTTTTTCACACTTTTATTATGTAGGCTAGGCGTAGTCACAAACCGAACCTCTCCATAATAAAAGCTCAGTCTTTTGTTATGCAGTCTATTCATAGTTTCAAACCGCACCTTACCATAATAATAAAAAGTGGGCCATCCCTGCCCCCCCCCCTCAACCATTATATAAACGGAGTGGTATCTCCTGTAATCTCTCATTTACTTGATACAGCTGTCGGGCTGTGACGGTTCCACCTGAAGACGGAAGCTTGTGTTGCCTCCGAAACGTGATTTTAATTTTATTTTACTTTTATTAATTTAGATTTTTTTACCTACGTGACTTTACCGAAAAACCTAAGAATATGAATCCTTGCAGTCACGAAAGCTTCAAATCTAGAATTATAGTAGTGTAGTGTATAGTGTAGTGTACTAGTACAGCACACCGGTGTGTTGGAGAACCAAGCCACAACATTTACAATCCGAGTACGACGTTTCGCCAGTAATTACAACTAGCTTCATCAGGCGACAGCCAGATTTGTGATGTTCACGTGCCAAACCTTACTAGTTGGCTGTGTCGGGTGGTGGCGGGTTTAACGACACATTGATATATTTACGCGATCTCACCCAAAAAGAAACCTGTACAGTATTATGGATGATATTGGTCGCGAAACTACTGTATTTAGTTGCACTGTACATGCCCCTTGCTTGCTCATGTCCAGCTCGGGTTGAGATGTGTCACAATGGCAAAAAGTGTCCCGTGGAAGGTGGACGACCACCACTAGTCGAGATTGGACGACCACTCGTCGAGGATGGACGACCACCACTAGTCGAGGATAGACGACCACCACTAGTCGAGGTTGGACCACCACTAGTCGAGATTGGACGACCACCACTAGTCGAGATTGGACCACCACTAGTCGAGGATGGACCACCACTAGTCGAGATTGGACCACCACTAGTCGAGATTGGACCACCACTAGTCGAGGATGGACGACCACTAGTTGAGGATGGACGACCCACCACTAGTTGAGGATGGACGACCACTAGTCGAGATTGGACCACCACTAGTTGAGGTTGGGTCTCCCACGTGGTCGTCAGTCGCTGCCCCCTGCCCGTCTCGAGGGGCACCACCGGTGGCACCAAAGACAAAGATCCCCCGTGTAGGCTGTCGACAGGCGGGGCAAGTGCCGTCAGCGAGTAGCACGTATTCAGGCCGGCACGGCACACGAGGGGGTGGGTGGCCAACACCACGCCCGGCCGCCTTTGTCTCCCCGGTGGCGATGTTTACACATTGCGCCAGATACGCCAGGTACTCATTTGAGGCTGAGTCGACCTAGGGGAGGGCCAGGACTGGTTCGGATAATCGTCACCGGTGTTGGCCATGAGCGGGAATCGAATCCGGGTCACCGGGTTCGTAGAGCAACGTAGCACAAACCACACCACCACCACTACACCACCACACCACCACGACACCACCACCACTACACCACCACCACGACACCACCATCACCCCCACGACTAGCACCACGACACCACCACCACTACTACACCACCATCACCCCCACGACACCCCAGCAGCTGTTCGCCTGGGCTCGTGATGTCGCCCCCTGGCGGTCTCGTGGCTGATGCGTGTGGAGTTGCCCGCCCTGCTGGGTGCTGGGTGCTGTGTGCTGGGTGCTGTGTTGACTGTGTGCTGGCTGTGTGCTGGCTGTGTGCTGACTGTGTGCTGGGTGCTGTGTGCTGGGTGCTGTGTGCTGGCTGTGTGCTGTGTGCTGGCTGTGTGCTGACTGTGTGCTGGCTGTGTTGACTGTGTGCTGGGTGCTGTGTGCTGACTGTGTGCTGGGTGCTGGCTGTGTGCTGACTGTGTGCTGGGTGCTGGCTGTGTGCTGACTGTGTGCTGGGTGCTGTGCTGGGTGCTGGCTGTGTGCTGTGTGCTGGCTGTGTGCTGTGTGCTGGCTGTGTGCTGACTGTGTGCTGGGTGCTGTGCTGACTGTGTGCTGGGTGCTGTGCTGGGTGCTGTGTGCTGGGTGTTGTGTTGACTACTGTGCTGGCTGTGTTGACTGTGTGCTGGGTGCTGTGCTGACTGTGTGCTGGCTGTGTGCTGGGTGCTGTGCTGGGTGCTGTGTGCTGGGTGCTGTGCTGACTGTGTGCTGGCTGTGTGCTGGGTGCTGTGCTGGGTGCTGTGTGCTGGGTGCTGTGCTGGCTGTGTGCTGGGTGCTGTGTTGACTGCTGTGCTGGCTATGTGCTGGGTGCCGTGCTGGGTGCTGTGCTGACTGTGTGCTGGCTGTGTGCTGGGTGCTGTGCTGACTGTGTGCTGGGTGCTGTGCTGGGTGCTGTGCTGACTGTGTGCTGGGTGCTGTGTTGACTGTGTGCTGACTGTGTGCTGGGTGCTGTGCTGGGTGCTGTGCTGACTGTGTGCTGGGTGCTGTGCTGACTGTGTGCTGACTGTGTGCTGGCTGTGTGCTGGGTGCTGTGCTGACTGTGTGCTGGGTGCTGTGCTGACTGTGTGCTGACTGTGTGCTGGGTGCTGTGCTGACTGTGTGCTGGGTGCTGTGCTGACTGTGTGCTGGGTGCTGTGCTGGGTGTGCTGGGTGCTGTGTTGACTGTGTGCTGACTGTGTGCTGGGTGCTGTGCTGGGTGTGCTGGGTGCTGTGTTGACTGTGTGCTGACTGTGTGCTGGGTGCTGTGCTGGGTGTGCTGGGTGCTGTGCTGACTGTGTGCTGGGTGCTGTGCTGGGAGTGCTGGGTGCTGTGTTGACTGTGTGCTGACTGTGTGCTGGGTGCTGTGCTGGGTGTGCTGGGTGCTGTGTTGACTGTGTGCTGGGTGATGTGCTGACTGTGTGCTGGGTGCTGTGCTGGGTGCTGTTGACTGTGTGCTGGGTGATGTGCTGACTGTGTGCTGGGTGCTGTGCTGGGTGCTGTGTTGACTGTGTGCTGGGTGCTGTGCTGACTGTGTGCTGGGTGCTGTGCTGACTGTGTGCTGGGTGCTGTGCTGACTGTGTGCTGTGCTGGGTGCTGTGCTGACTGTGTGCTGGGTGCTGTGCTGACTGTGTGCTGGGTGCTGTGCTGACTGTGTGCTGGGTGCTGTGCTGACTGTGTGCTGGGTGCTGTGCTGACTGTGTGCTGGGTGCTGTGCTGACTGTGTGCTGGGTGCTGTGCTGACTGTGTGCTGGGTGATGTGCTGACTGTGTGCTGGGTGCTGTGCTGGGTGCTGTGCTGACTGTGTGCTGGGTGCTGTGCTGACTGTGTGCTGGGTGCTGTGCTGACTGTGTGCTGGGTGCTGTGCTGACTGTGTGCTGGGTGCTGTGCTGGGTGCCCTGCTGACCGTGTGCTGGCTCTCTGTGGTTTCTGTCTTTAGTTTGTCGTCCTTCCCCCGCGCCTCCCATTAGCACGGTTGGCCACGTACGGCGCGAAATAAGTTTTATCGTGCTGTACATACTGTACACACTGTACACACAGACGGTGCTGCAGGGGCCCCGTGACACCACAGCTCTGTGCCACGAGGTGGCGCCTCGCCACCGCCACCACCAGCCACGCTGTGTCACCACCACCACCCACGCTGTCACCACCACCACCACCCACGCTGTGTCACCACCACCACCACCCACTCTGTGTCACCACCACCACCAGCCACGCTGTGTCACCACCACCACCACCCACGCTGTGTCACCACCACCACCACCCACGCTGTGTCACCACCACCACCACCCACTCTGTGTCACCACCACCACCACCCACGCTGTGTCACCACCACCACCACCCACGCTGTGTCACCACCACCCACTCTGTGTCACCACCACCACCCACTCTGTGTCACCACCACCACCCACGCTGTGTCACCACCACCACC